GTGGTGAGCAGGATTCGGTACCATTTGACAACAAAAGCCTAACATGGTTCCGATCTGTGTGTGTATGTGTATGTGTATGTGTATGTGTGTATGTGTGTATGTGTGTATGTGTGTATGTGTGTGTATGTGTGTATGTGTGTATGTGTGTATGTGTGTATGTGTGTATGTGTGTATGTGTGTATGTGTGTATGTGTGTATGTGTGTATGTGTGTGTGTATGTATGTGTATGTGTGTATGTGTGTATGTGTGTATGTGTGTATGTGTGTATGTGTGTATGTGTGTATGTGTGTATGTGTGTATGTGTGTATGTGTGTATGTGTGTATGTGTGTATGTGTATGTATGTGTGTATGTGTGTATGTGTGTATGTGTGTATGTGTGTATGTGTGTATGTGTGTATGTGTGTATGTGTGTATGTGTGTATGTGTGTATGTGTGTATGTGTGTATGTGTGTATGTGTATGTGTGTATGTGTGTATGTGTATGTGTGTATGTGTGTATGTGTATATGTGTATATGTGTATATGTGTATATGTGTATATGTGTATATGTGTATGTGTGTATATGTGTGTGTGTGTGGTGTGCTTGTGCTCTTTCTCACCTTTGATAGTGATTCTAATATCGCCTCCGCGGGCGCGAGGCCCAGAGAGGGAGCACGGGGACAACAATTTGGGTCACCAGCTAACTGTCGACGCCAGCAGCAGCGGGGACAACAATTTGGGTCACCACGCTAACTGTCGACGCCAGCGCCTACACCAGCACCGTTTCAGCCAGCTTGCTTTGCCTTGTCTTCTCATTGTTATTGCTGCCGCTGCCGCATCCCTCGAGGCCCGTCGAGTGACGGCGGGAGTGCGTTTTGCAGGAGCCGCTCAGGAAACGCACCCAGGGCTCGCCTTGACAAAAACATACATATATAGATTGCAGCTTACTGTACTAGCCTTTCGGCTTTCCGAGGTTGATGGCTTGGGCTCGCTCTTGGGATCTTTAGTGGTCTTGGGCACTCTGGCATTCAGCTTGGATTGTTTTGGGCTTTCAATTCTCATCACGATGTGTACGCGACGGTGTGGAGGTGTGAGTTCTACTTGTGCTGTACCGCTCTCGCGTCGACCTTCATGGCATCCATATACTTTTTCACTGTTTGCAGTTCGACTCCTATGGTTGCTCGGCTTCAGCGTTAGACTTTCTGATGCAGGAGCATCCCCAGTCACGATCACGGACACCATAGACACAGCGTTGCGAACAGTATTCCAGACCAGAAGTTCATTCCAAGATCTCCCTCATGCTGCTGTGGATCACACAATCCAACAACAGATTATCTTGATCACGTCGTGGACAGATCTCATTGGTGCCCCCCTCAAGTTTCAGACTGCAGGTGTACCTGAGACGTCCACTCTTGTGCTTGCCCGACAGATTATGGTGGCGACGTTATGGCATATGTCGCGGCCTTTGCCATCATCACATTTCCTTCGAATGCTTGAACACCTTCTTCGAGAGTTTTCCCCGTGGTTTGCAGGTGAGCGCACACATGGTAGTACGCACTTTAGCAGCATGTACGTATGCCTCATGACCTCCCACTATCTGCTACATCTTCGGCAGCTCTGGACATCAGGTCGCAGGCCCCGCGGTGTTGCTCAAAGGTGTTGTCTTCCCATGTCTGCTGACCTACAACGTGCTATATCACGGCCTGGATGGGCCAACTTTCTGGAGATTTTAAACATCTGCGATATCCTCAGCCTACAGCTGCAGTGTATCTTCGGTTCGTCGTCGCCTTCGCTTCGTACATCCTCGTTCATCTACCAGGTAGGCTCGAACGCCAGGTATAGTGGACAGGGGCGCATACATAGAAGCACAGGCGCACATGCAGGAGGTATCGCACGAGCACGTGAACACTTTAAGTCTCTCAGGTTGTGTGCTTCGGGTAAGCCGCTTGCTGATCGTGCACGTTATCTTGCTCTATTGGGCGCACATCACCAGCATACCATATCCATCATATTCCTGGAGGTGGCCCCGTCGTTGGCCATAAATGCGGTGGAGTCCTCATACATAGCCTATGCTACGCCCGAGGCTAACAACACCAGCAAATATAACAACGACTCCATAAGTCTGGGCCCCCTCAGGACCTCCACGCGCTCTCAGACAGGTAAACCCCCCAGGCAAAGAAGGTCTCGAACACAACGGCACCTACATCTCTCTCGGGGCCCCGACGAGCTTCAATCACAGGATCTTTGGCAGCAAGCACGAGTTCGAGCACTTCGTGAGTTTCATCTTAGACATACTCGTAAGCGTGAACGTACACGGGAGCGGGCAACAGTTTTACGTGGACACTTTTATAGTGTATACGACTTCTTCATGCGCCGACATGTTATGCAGACGCACAGCTTTGGTCCCATCACAATCTACGATCCACGTTGTGATATCCTCCTCATACGATTCTGCGCTTGGAAGCCTTCGCAGATTATTTGGCAACATGTTATTGCATCTAAGGACGGCAGTTCAGATTACCTATACACTCTCTGGGGCTTGTGTACGGTTTTTCCCTTCTGGCGGGAGAAGTCGATTGTGCAGGCGGCAATTGCTTCTCACTTAACTCTTCACGGACTCCCACGGCCAGGAGGCGCTAGCATCCTTGTGGAACGTGAAAATGATGTACCAGTAGTACGTAGGTGGCTTAAGGTTGTTCTTGACCAGGCTTCGTCATCCAGGCCCGCTTGGACACTTTTGGTACGACGCCAGATTCGCATCACAGTTTCAGCACGGAAGACATTGCAAAAACATTGCATGTGTATGTATCAGGACCTTGAGAGGTCACCAGTAGAGCTCCTCAAAACTGCCACTGCCGACGACTTACAGATCGCGTCGCACGGGTCAGATCTTTTTCGTATCCCTGTCAGTGGTCGACTCCCATGGCTTTACAGTGACGTTGGAAATTTATCCTTCAACGCCTACAGTCAGTGTGCTGTGTGGCTTAGCCGTTCAGGACTGGACGGCGCTGTTCTGCGTTTTCTCCCGGCTGTGGTCAGCACGACTCCAGCACCGACGCCAGCTTCAACCACGACATTACAGTTGCAGGCACTTGGTAGATTGTGCACAGCACTTGATTACGCAACAAAGTTTGTCACGTTCACTGTTGAGGATAAGGATCCACGCACGCTCTGGGGGACTAGCGTCAGGCACATGCAGATGAGGTGGCTTGGGCTCATATCACATGCACATGATAGATGGCGTCTAAATATCATACCACATACACATATACTACAATGGTACAGGTTCACGTGTGATTTCAGCGTCCCTAAAAGCCTACGGCCTCCTAATCAACGGTGTATAAGTTATCGTCATTTACCATACTGCTATCCTACTGTGAAACGTAAGTGCTTCCAGGACACGGGCGAAAAGATCTGCCAAAAACCAGGGCACTCATGTCTACCTAACATTTGCAGTTTTTATCGACTTCCAGGACGACGTTTATATCAGAAGATCTCCAGGGGCATCGTGTTTCTAACCAACCTCATATTCCCAGGCTGGAGTTTCAAAGGTCTCGACTCGGCATTCGAAGAGCTAGATGTTGCTGTAGGACTTCTGGCACCTCCGTACTGTCTCCCTGGCACGCAGCAGTGTGTATGTGTTCGTTGCCGCAAGTGCATGGATCATCCAGGATTTGTTGTTGCCGACGCTGGACAGGCGTATGAGGCATTGGCGCCTCAGGATATTCGCCTGGCTGTGGACTCCTTGTTTGATCGTGCCGCGCAGAAGCTCACCACACGTACGTTGTCTGTCATGCACACATCCACGTCCCAGGTAGTCTTGGGAGGCAAGCTCGGTGTGCGGCATTGGGATAGGACGATCTTCGTGTTCCAGAGCCTCAAAAGGGCAATCGAGGGCTTCTTGGGGTTTCGCTACTTCGTCCTCTCAGGCCTTGCTCTTGCTCAGCTATCTGGGATACCTATTGGTGGACCTCTATCGGGCGCCATTTTACACTTGGTACTGTGTTATCTTGAGTATTTGTATGATGAGAATCCTAGGCCCCGTCCGACTACCTCCAGAAGATCTTCAGAAGTAGCATCAGGTCGATATGTTGACGATACGGTTCTGCTCTCTTATCGAGTCTGTAGATCGTGTCTTTGGCGGCAAATGAGTTTGGTATATAAAAAAGCTTTGGTTTTTGAACTTGATCATGGGTTTGAACAGTTTGAGACAACGGTCCTCTTCCGATATCTTGACGCTCTAGTGGTTTGGGGCTTTGACGGCATTCGATATATACCACAACACAAGAATGAAGAGTACGTTCTAAGCGGGGACTTAACCAAGCTCAAAAAACAGAACATGATTCCCTACCTTGCTCGTCTCCGCCGTCGTGAACTAGGACAGCTTCGATCCGAGCTTCGAGGGCGTATTCATAATTGGGAGCGACTTCGACCAGATACCATCGACTTTATAATCATTATCTCCATCGACATGGCCTTCATGTATCGTTCAGGTTATCCCAGTAAAATCGTTCGTCGGGTTTGGCGCCAGATATACCCCGAAGGTGAGAAGAACGACCTCGTAAACCTTTGCCTCGACTTGGTCCAGCGTACCTGTTCTCATCTCATCCCGTCTGCCGCAGCCATCTCGTCTCAGTTAGACCACGTCAGTGGCCTCTTGTACGAGCGTGTACAACTACCTCCTTTCTCTCGACGGTCTCAGGAGATGGGCCATCCGTCTGGTGGCAAAACCGGGGCTGCCAAGGCCGGCGCTGGAGGTGACTGGTACGGCGGTGGCAAAGGTTACACTCAGTACTACGGCGGCGGCAAGGGCTACGGCGGCAACGGTGGCGGCAACGGCCTTTCTTCCATGCTTGGTCAGTGGAGTGGTATGATCGACGGCATGCGGGCCTTCAGTGAGATGGGCCGTATCAGCCAGATCATCGCACAGGCTGACAATGGTATTGGCAACAACCTCACTCAGCAGCAGCAGCAGCAGCAGCAGGTCCAGCAGCCACAGCACCAGCACCAGCACGTCCCAGGGATGGCCTCGGTCAACCAGCCCGCGCGCGACCTTGCGATTGCCCTCTCGGACGTCATGGGCGGTGCGCAGGGCTCAGACAGCAAGCTGCAGGCGACCATCAAGCGCCTCCATGAGGCCGCAGGCTTGGACACAGGCAATGGCGAGCGCTTGGAGGATAACCCAGTGATTAAGAAGATGAAGGCTGAGCTCGCAGAGATGCAGGGACACATCAAAAATCACGGCGATCAGCTTGCCAGCATCCAGCAGTCGACATCCACCACCTCAGATGATGTACGTGCGCTTCGTAACTTGCTCGAGGGTGGCTTAGGCGGCAACGGTGGCAAAGGCAGTTGGAACGCTCCTGGTCCCAAAGGTCTCGGCAAAGGAGCAGATCAGGGTGTTCCCGCAGTCCACGAGAATGGCCCCGTCATGAACCCCATGATGACCAAGCAGATGCACGAGACCGCGTTGTCGTTTCTTGGCGTGTCGAAGGATCGAGCTGATGTATCGCAGTGGGCTGCGACGATTCCCGAGGGTGGCCTTCCCTACTTGGCTTGGTGGACGGAGATTGGCAAGAAGAAAGGGCTCGACCAGTGGCGTCGCAAACTCAAGTCGCTCGGAGCCAGCGAGGCGCAGGTGGATGGCAAAGACTTGGCCGTCATGGGCACGCTCTTGTTTCAGTTTCTCGACGAGGATGGGGAGTGGGCGGACGAGTGGGCGGACACCGCCATGCAGCAGGCGCCCCCCGCAGCATGAGCTCCTCATCACGAAGCTTTGGAGTCTGCTGATACTTGTGCCCAGGTCCAGGCCTTGTCTTCTGGGGGAGCTGTTGTCTCGACGGCGTCTTCGGGTCGTGAGCTCATGAGTTGTGCACGCACATGCTTATCCAATCTTTTTCCCAACTCCTTGTCCTCCCTCTCTGGCTTCATCGTCTCCCTTTGCACGCTCTTGTGCTTATGGTGCGCCGTGCAAGCAGCGATATTTGTCTTTAATCTCAGAATGTGGCTCACCACCATCTTTGAAGGAATCAGCCACGCCATGTCACATGTCCTGCCGTCCTTTATCGGACACTGGATCGGCGCACGCTTTCTGGCACCCATGTTCCCCTCCTTCTTCCCTGGTGGTTTAGCCGCAGACGATGGTAGCTTGTCTCTTGAAGGCCAGGGGAGTGGCCTTGATGTGATAGCAGGCATAACTTTGTGGCCAGGTATGCTCAGTCTTGGTGGCATCCTCCTGGCACGTTTGGCAAAGCTCGCAGCAGGGCCCATTGTTGGCAACCTAGCGTCTCTCTTGTTTCGCTGGTGCGTTTAACTTGGGCCTGCAGGGAGGCCGCGGAGCGACGCAATCATGTGATAAGTCAGACTCCCATTTCTGATTTTGATGCTTGTGTTTTACCCGCCCATCTTCCTGTATAGGGAGGCTGTGTGTGTGTGCTTGTGCTCTTTCTCACCTTTGATATTGATTCTAATATCGCCTCCGCGGGCGCGAGGCCCAGAGAGGGAGCACGGGGACAACAATTTGGGTCACCAGCTAACTGTCGACGCCAGCAGCAGCGGGGACAACAATTTGGGTCACCACGCTAACTGTCGACGCCAGCGCCTACACCAGCACCGTTTCAGCCAGCTTGCGTTGCCTTGTCTTCTCATTGTTATTGCTGCCGCTGCCGCATCTCTCGAGGCCCGTCGAGTGACGGCGGGAGTGCGTTTTGCAGGAGCCGCTCAGGAAACGCACCCAGGGCTCGCCTTGACAAAAACATACATATATAGATTGCAGCTTACTGTACT